CAGTGTCCTGGTCCCATGGGACTGTGAGACCCTTGCGTGCGCACCCCTCGTTCGCCCAATTACATTCATATCCTTAAGACTCCCCCACTTCCCCCAAAACTCCTTGGCACACCCCTTTTCGCACTTCCAGGCCCACACCCCACTCCGATCAGGAAGTCGAGCTGGGCGTGAGGTTGGGCGTCACAGTGCTAGATGGGAGCCACTGTGCACCCTCATGAAGACCTGTAGTAGCATGTTCATACCTAGCTCCCGAAGTCCGTGCAATCAGGCTTGCACGGCGTCTGCTTCAACCAGGGCTGTGCAGGGGGTAGGTGTCTCTGCTTAGCCCGCGTGCCTGCAACCGCTGTCTGGTCAGCTCACCCCATCAAGATGGTGATGGGTGATGGTCCCGGGTGGGGGGGGTGGTGATGCGCCAGGGCAAAATGATGAGAGGAAGGGTGGGTGTGGTCTTCATAGGGGTTCAGCTGGACAATCGAGTGGCCGAGTACTGTGGGTGACAGCCATCGGTCCAGTATCCCACCTCTACAACAACCTGGGCTTTATAAAAGGAGAAGAAAAAAAAAAGTATGGGAGGGTTAAAACTTAATAGGGGGATCATGGCTATACAGAAAGGGAGGTCAATGGGCAAGAAGGTATGGCATATGGAGAATAAAATAAGCACAATAGGAGATTTGGAGACTAGTCAAATGAGTATACGGGAGATTTGACGAAGGGAAGGAGAACATAGACACATAGGGATATCTTATGACGGGAGGGGGTGATGAAAGGGGGGTGATTGAAAAGGGAGGGCTCGGGCCTCATAAGAGCAAGAGGGAGGAGGGTGTTGGGTAGCTCGGGTTTGTGGGGGATGCCTGGGTACCAAGGGGAGTCTCCCGGTTGTTCGCACTCGACATCTCTCATCTCCGCTTCGGGGTGTTCTTTGCAAGACATGTTATGCTTGCTGGTGGTAAGCAACCGTGACCGGTCTGGCGCCCCCCAGAATAAAAGGGGCTGTGTGTGTTTGGTGTAAAAATAAAAATAAAATTAAAAATTAAAAAATTAAAATTAAAAATTAAAAAATAAAAATAACTTCAGTAGAGTCACAAAAACGAGTTATAATTGCACTATGGGGCAAGATACAGATTGCAATTGCACTTCGGGCACCCTACCTGGACAGAAAGCTGGGTTGTATACATTGCCCGAACTGCAATTCGAAACTGTACCTTGGCCCATACTGCAATTATAACTCATTTTTGTGACTCCCGCGTAGTTTCCCCATCGTTTTCATCACCAATGCGGTTGGCTTGGTTGGTACACCCCAACTGTTGAAATACATGCCGAAGTTGGAATCTAGATCCAATCAGATGAACATAATAAAATGATTTTGAATTACCTGGGGCCTATCAGTTCAATGATGACATCTGGTCAAGCAAATGTACGACGACAGAGAAATGGGCAGAATGTTGGGCTGGGTTACAGCAAAGGGAACAGGAAACCGATGGGCCTAACTCAGTTCGTACACCCATGAACTGTTGAAATACAGGCCGAAGTTCAAATCCGGAGATGAACAGAATAACATACTTCTGCATTAATTACTTGGGGCAGGTACTAAGCTCAATGATGATATCTTTCTTTCTTACCTTTTTTGCTTTCTTTCTTTCTTACATTTTTTTCTTTTCGATATCTCCAGGCTGTTGCTCTTATCTCTATTAAAAAAAGGGAAATTTGCATCCGTACCGCACTTAAAGATGGGAATACCGGCTATACCCAGTCCCAGCGCCAACTTTTATTTATACCCAGAAAACTGCCTGCGAAAATTGTTCGCATGCCCAGGTTGGTATTGGAAAATTGTGGTTATAACTTATAACCAACTCCGGAATGCACCAATTTATGGACATACCCAGGCCAATTTATGGGCATAACCCGTACCTGACATGGAGCGGCTAAATTATTCATATACCCTGCTACCAGATGGCTGAAAGTATGCTCATACCCAGCAGCCGGTGGGTATGAGCATACTTTCAGC